ATAATAATAATAATAATAATAATAATAATAATAATAATAAAGCACCTTGCAAAATAATGAGTTCCAGCGTCCCTGGCTGGATGCTCTCCAAGTGGGCAGGGCCGCAAATCCCATAACTGGAGGTGCTGGCAGGGGGACGCTGGGAGCCCAACAGATGCGGGGGGCAGCAGACTGAGGGAACATGGGGAGGAGGGGGCTTTTGCACCAATGTTCTGTTTGTGGGTTTAGGGTGGATAAATGGATGGACTTCTTCGCGCAGCACTTGGTTAAAGGGGTCAGACTAGATGGCCCGAGAGATCCCGTCTGACTCACTCCGTTTCTAGTTTCGATCGCAGGTATTTCCCTCAGTGTCTTTCTAGGAAATCAGGCGGCTGTGAAGCAGAGGCAGTTTCCCACTTTGGGCACCAGGTGGCACTGCTGCCCCACTTTCCTACAAGGTGCTTGTAAGGACGGGGAAGGACTCGGCAGAGCCACCAAACAGAAGTGGAGTCGTAGCGGAAAGTCCAGGTGCCTTTTCCTGATTTTGACCATGTTTCAAAACATGGCCTTATTCTCTCTACGTTGTGCGTCAGCGCTTGCTCCAGGCTTGGGGGGAGCGGGCCTAGGCAAGCCCCCCGAATCAGGCCTACCGCCTCCTTGCTGAGTTGCTATTTTGAGGGATTGTGGGCTCCTAGGAATGCCTTTGGAGGTGGGTCCATACCTTCAGTATTGGTTGTTGTTGTTGTTATTATTCTAATCGTATTATTCTATTACACTACATTTTAATCCCCCTTACTTCCTCTTGCAAGGAAAGCAAGGAGGCTTACAAGATTCCCCCCTCATCATTTAATCCTCATAACAACAACCCTGAGAGGTAGGTCAGGCTGAGAATCCATGACCTTCATGGAAACCAGACTCCAGATCTCCTGAATCCCAGTTCAACATTGTAACCACTACACCATGCAGAAGACCCTCTCTCTCGTTCTCATTCTCTCCCTCCTTCCCTCCCTCCCTCTCTCTCTCACACACGCACACACAAAAACACCCACAAAACCACACACCTCATAAACACTCAGCACAACAGTTAGGTTTGAGAAAGCACTCCTATTGGAGCCACTGCCGGCTTCGTTTCAAACCCTGTTGTTGAGTGGAGAAGATGATCTTCGCCAACAGCCCGGCTCACAGGAAGGACGGCGTGGGTTGAAACTTCCTCCACCGGCTGAGGACTCCACAGAGCGTCACGGTTTCTCCCCCGCTCCTGAGGGTCCCAGTGCCTCCCCTAAAGCCGAGGTACTGCTAAAGCGAGCTTTAAACTAACTGTGTGGGCCTCTCCACCCGCTCTGCCTTGTCTCCACCCGCAATGGGAATGCTTCTCCCAAACGAATCGTGGCCCCCGGCCCAGGACTGCGTCGAGGGTCTGTCCTGTGCTCCTTTCTGAAAGGGGGATTCTTTTTAGCCCGATTCCTCAAGACAGGAAACTGAATTTGGTCTGCCCCGATGCCCAGCTGAGAATGCGCCGCCACCAAAGGAATCTGGCCCGAAATTTTGGAGCCATGCAAGCAGCAGCTGGGCACCCTTAGCCTCGCCTCTACGGCTACCGTCTCTTGTCTCCTTACCCGAAATCCACAGGACTGACTTTTGAGTAGAAAAGACATTGTCCTTTGTCATCCTCGCTCGAAGCAGCCTTGGTGGCAGAGGCAGGGGGCTCCTAGCAGAGCTATAAAGCCAGGAAGGCGCACCCTCTGGATGCCAACAGAAGTCCAGCACCCTTTTTATTGCTTGTGTGGCTCTTTGTGGGTATCAGATGGATGGAGAGAGGAGATCACGGAGTCTTAGAGGTGGAAGAGACGCTTAGAGGGGTCCCATCCCACCCATTGCTCAGTGCAGGGATCTTCCAATGTCAGAATCCACCACATTTGTGTTTTCAGCACCAGGCTTAATCCCTCTAGTGAAAAAAGCCCCGCTTTCTTCTCAGGCAGTCTGTTCACCTGTGGGAGCTCATGTCTCCAATGACAGTGGGGTGTGTATCCACTCCAGATTTTAGCCTGGGGTGTTGAATTCTGTAAAAGTTAACTTATAGGACCTTGTCCATGTTGCTGGATGCCTTGCTTAGCTCCTTTAACATTCAGACTGAAACCCAGAGTGGATACACCACGCCACTGAGGTTGGTGCCACCGGCCCACTCTGCCCTTACCTTTAAGATGGATTCAGCTAGGGTTCTCCTAGTGTTTAGCCAAAATCCGCTGCCCTCTCACTTCCAACCACCACTGATCCTAGTCGTAATCTCTGATACTCCAGAGGGGAGCCATTGAGAACCTAATTCATAGGAGCTTTTCTATGCGAAGTTTTTAATCTGCAGCATTGCCTTTTGCTTCTATTCCCGAATCCAAACCGGAGTAGTCAAGTGTTTTCTTTCCGATGTCAGAGTCTCCTTACTAATGGTGAGAATGAACACTCGGACCCACAGGGAAGATTGAATCGCCTTGAATCCTGGCGTTTTGGTTGCTGAGCACACCCAGGCCCCCTGCGGTTTAGTCAGTGCTTTTTTTGTAAAAAAAAAAAAAGTGCCAGAACTCATGTCTTGGGGTCACACTTTTACACTAAAAAAGATTTTCAATTCACTAATTTTTTTTGAAATAAAGAACTTGTTTACCTTTTGCGCATAGCCAGTCACTCTACGCACACATAAACATAATGGTCGCCGCCGACAGTAAGCACTCAGCGCGTGACCACACGACCGATCCCAAGCCGAGCAGCATCCCGAGCAGAGCAGCGCCCTCACAACCAGCAAGGACACACAAGCAGCCCACAGGTGCTATGTTAATGATGTTTGCCGCCGACCTGCTACGTCCGACGGGGCGATTCACAATCCCTTGGAAAAATCCACCAAAAAACCGGTGCCGGAACACCGTTCCGGTGCGTTCTATGACAAAAAAAGCCCTGAGTTTAGTTATGGCAGCGTGCTGCCAGGTAGTGGTCCTCACAGTCAACTACAAGCTTTTAGAACATACACAGAGTGTTTCAGAGGTTCTGAGTCACAGGTACAAGCAGGGCAGGTGATGACAAGATAAGGGGAACTCAGTCAAAAGAAAGTGAGAGATCTGTAGAGGAGACTTAATACAATAGTGTTGATTACTGAAGATTGACTTAAGGGTTCAGGAAGGTACGGATTATTGTTAGTCTTAGCTGTGAGTTTGATCATGCAAATTAGGGTGATTCTAGTGCTGCTTTCAAAAAACTCTTCTGGCTGTCTTGTCAGTTTTGTTGCTCTTAGCACAAGAAAAGCCCCTCTCAGGCAGCTGCGATTTCTAGTCTCTTAAAGGAACAGCAATGCTAAACAGGAACCTGACTTGGAATTCTGCTACTTTCTGAGAAAGAGGAGCAGGTTTGATTTTATAACACAAAGGCACCTATTGTTGTGTCCGCTAGACCTGAACATGAAAGGTGGGGCCAGTTCCTTGAACACAATAACAGGAGGCGGCTGGCACAATAACAGGGAGTGGCTACAGGTAGCAGGGGGCGCATTGATATGCAACACTGAACGCGCTACATACAGCAAGGAACGCTTGATAGGCAACAATGAGCTAGCAAAAGCAAATTTAACCGCAAACTTGAGCTTCTGTACTTCACTTGCTTAATATGAAACCTGGTACTTTTCCCACTGGCAACAATTAGCGCCAAGTACATCTGGGTAGAAAATGTATAAAAACTGTACCATCCCAATACCAGGGACCGCACTCCTCTCAGAGTGTTGGTCCCTGCGCAGGTATAATAAAGGACCCTTCAACCCTCCATACTTCTTGTCCAGTGGTCTCATTCGATCGCGCTACAACACTATAAGCAACCCTTTTCTACTATGATTTTTCTGAATTCCCCAACACTGGCTTCCCTGCCACATAGCGTGTAGGTGTTTCCATATGTCCCTACCAGACCACTCAGGTCATCAATGAAAGCCCTCCTTCACAATCCCTCACCCCCAGATGAGGTGATGGGCGAATCGACTAGGAAAAGGACCTTCTCTGTCATCGCATCTCACCTTTGGAATTCCCTTCCAAAGGAGGTGTGACTGGCACCTCCCTTATCCTTCTTTCAGTACCAAGTTAAGACTTTTTATTTCGTATTTTAGTATTTTTAGATAATGATTTACCAGTCATGCTGCTGGTTTATTGTCTTCTTGGTTTATTCTCTTATTATACTGTGCTTATCCTCCTGTTGTATTTATATACCAGACTTACTGTATTATGGTTTTATGATTTATGGTGTTATTGTCATGCATTTTTATTTGTATCACTGTAACCAGACAGCCTTCTGGCTATGGGGCAGCATAAAAATGCAATAATAAATACCTAATAGGTGGAATTACATTGTGTTGTGATGGAATGAGAACAAGCCGGGGGGCGGGGAGATTTTTGGTGCATAATTAAATTTCCCGGCTCTTGGGAAACTCACCAATGTAGGAGCAGAACCGAGAAATGAATCATTCTCTCCCTGCGCCCCAGTAAACTCTCGTGACTTAGGCGTGACGGATAAATGCGGTGGGCAGAAGCGTTCTTCCTATGACAGCAAAAATAAGGATCGTTTCAGGGATGGCTGTGAAACGTTCTTTCGTTTCTCGTCTGTGCCATCGACCTTGCAAGTGCGAAGCGCCGGTGACTTTCGGTTTCGCCTCGGCAGGGCGTTGGAGCGGCTCCTGGACCGGCTGCGAGCGCTGCAGAGCGATCTGCATGGGGGCGCCTCCGCTTTGGGTCGTGCCCCTGCTGGCCTCCGCCGTCCTCCCGTGGGGGGGCTGCTCCGGTGAGTGCAGGGAAGGAGGCGAAAATCTGGGCTGAGGACGGAGGGTGGGACTGAACGCAAAGGCGGTGAGCTCTCGCTCGCTCCCTCTGGCATGGGGGAAGGGGGAAGCGCATGGGGGAAGCCAGAAATGGCCACTAAAAGGATCCAGGGGCTGGAGCAGCATCCCTTTACGGAAAGGGGGCAACAGCTGGGATTATCTAGCTTATAAAAGAGGTGAGCGGGGGAGACCTGGCTGAAATGTAGAACTAAACAGCGGAGAGAAAGTGGAGAGGGAGACATTTTTCCCATAGTCCTACGAGCCGGAGGGGTCCCCCCTGGATGGAAGGTTTAGGGTGGATGAGAGGGAGCCCTTCTTCACCCAGTGCAGAGTTAAACTACGGAGGACCTGCCCAAGTGAGGAAAGCCAGTGAGCTACCTCCACTTTCAGATTCACTTTGCCTGGGCTGGGGAACATGGACAGGGGCTGGGGAGCATGGCCTGGAGAGTGCTGCTGCGCACTGCTTGCCAGGCATGCTGGGAGCTGTATGCCCTTTTTTCCTATACAAATAGACATAGCATGGGATCCTGAAGGTTGTTTTGAGAAAGGAGACAGGCTGTTGGCTTGCTTGGCATGGCCTCTGTGAAGGGAAGGGGGCCCCGATTTCTGTTTGTGAAACCGCAGTGGGAGAGTTCGCCTCACAGGCTCCTTAGTCCAGCACCCACCCACCGCAAGCTTTCGTAATGTTGACAGGGGCACTCTCCCGAAAAGGCTGCCAGGGAAGGGGTCGCCCATGCATACAGAGGCCAGCCCGGGGGATGTGGCTGGTCACCACCTCACTGACCAGGAGGCACCCACGGACCTCAGGTCCTGCCCTGGGACCACGGCTCCCCTGATGGAGGGCTGCGAAGGATCTGCCTAAACACCGCCAGCAAAGGGAAGCCCCCCCCCCCCCAGAGATGGCCTGTTTTTACATGTGCAGGGAATACATGTGCTCCCCATGCAACCCCGGACTTAAAACGTGGGGTTCTGGGCTGGGAATGGATGCTCCTTTCCAGGAATACGTGCCTGGAAGGGATCAGGCTCAGCCGTGTGTCCAGCCCAGGATGGAACTGGGCACACCATTTGGCACCTAGGAGCATAAGAAGAGAACAGCCCTGCTGGACGGGACCAACGTTCCACCCAGTCCAGCACTCCATTCAGGGTGGCAAGCCAGCTGCCCCCGGGATCCCTCAAGCAAGACCTCCTCCTGCCCAGCCTGGGAATGGAGGCAGCACTTAGCCAGCCAGGCTAGTGGGGGATGGATAGCCTCCTCCATAAATTTGTCCAATCCCCATCCAAATCGGGGGCCACCACCACTTTCTGTGACAGCAGATTCCACCATTCTTCCTGGTTGTTTTAATTCTGCTGCAAATTCTGTAGCATCTCTCCTCCTTTTGGGGCTGCCCGCTTCTCTCTGCCATTCCAAGCTACCCTTTTCATCCTCCATGCTCCGAATCTTGCTTCCTCCTCCAGTGCTCTTTGATAGATACCCATATTACCCTTTCCATCACCTTCCTTCTCACTTTTCAGGGCCTGAGGCTTTATTCTTGCCTTCCTACTCTTCTCTTGCCTTTTGTTTTCTGCTAGCTGGGCTTATAAACAGGTAGAAACCTCCCAAAGGCACACCCCAAACCTCCTTAGAAGGGAGCAGATGCTTCGGAGGGGCAGAATCCTGGAGGTTTTGAGTGCCTGGGGGGGCTCAAATGGGGTTTGTGGGTCTTCTCACCTGCCATCTCTGCCTGGGCTGGGGAACATGAGTAAGCACCCCACCTACCACGGGGTACTTACTCAGCCTCAGCCATTTCCTGTGCTCACCATTCCAGGCACTTCCTCGCATTTCCTGCGCTACTTCCACATGGCCAGCATGGAACCCGGCCAGGAGCTGCCCCACTTCACAGCCGCCGGGTTTGTGGATGATGAGCTCTTTGCCAGCTACAGCAGTGACACGAAGCAATACCAGCCTCGCACCTCCTGGGCGGAGAAGAACCTGGATGCCTCTTACTGGGCAGGGCAAAGCAGGATTGGGCAGAGCAATGAGAAACTGTACCGAGTGGACCTGGTAATCCTAAAGAATCGCTACAACCAGAGTGGGGGTGAGTGGAGGCCAAATTCTTCCGCATTATTCCTTCCTCCCAGGAGAGGGAAAGAGGAGAAAGATGGGGGAGGGGATCTGTAGGATATTTGTACTTATTTTGGGAATTCGCCCAATTAATGCTGTCAGTCCTCTAGTGCTAATGAGTGGGCACTCCAATATAAGCTTTTCTCAGTCTAGTCTCACAACATTCCTGCAAGGTAGGGCAGGCTGGGAGATAGTGACTGGGCAAAGGCCATTCTTTGGGCTACATGGGCAAACAGGGATTGGAATGCAGGGAATTTATTATACATTCACCATTTCCTGCTCGTGGATGTTTGCTTAATGACTTCCTTACTTTGATGACATTGTAAGCTTCCGTTCTCTTCTGTGTCTAACCAGTGCTTTCAGTAAGCTTTATTTTCACAGCAGGGGAGGTGTGGCATTAATTGTAAAAGTGGAAGGAAGAGGTTATGCAGCAGCAAGGGAAGTGCTTCTCATGGAGTGCGTGGATGGCAGTTCAGTGGCAGAACTACGGAGAGGAAATCTTAGCAGCCTCGGGTAGGACAGCTCCAGATCTCTCACACAGAGAACTGTGTCACACCGATCGGCAATTCAGAGGCTCGGAGATCAGTTCCTTGTCGGGGCAAATAGGTTTCTTTACAATTGAAGTCATGGATCCATGGCTGCCTAAGTAGGAACACCCCATGATAATTTCCTTAGGGTTATATAGAATGCACAAAAGGGGAGTGAATACAATACACAGGAAGGGGATTGGATTCGTTGATATGGATAGGAAAGTGATTGGACACACGTCACAGCACCAAAAAGAAAAGTTACATTTCACTCTAATTAGATGCCTTTGACAGGCCTTCTAAATTAAAGTTGCCTTGAACAGGCTGGCCAAGTTAAGTCAACAGAAAGGTCGCATGTGTGAACTTACAGGGTTAGGGAGGCACTTTAGCAAGCCTGTAAAACACAGAGATTGTACTTTGACAGTTACCTACTAACCGAGTGGGGTCCTCTGGTCTTCACCGCCAGACACCGAGGCCTCTTTTGATGTGTTTATGGCAGGGCAGTGGGGTGGGATGGTAAGAGCTGCTTTTCTGAGTAAACTAAAAACTTCATCCTTTGCTTCTCCTGCAGCTGCGATTTTTCCAGGGGCCCTTTGGACCTGAACTCCCCATCGCATTAGATTGAGACTTTTGGATATCACCCAAGCATTGATTAAAGCTAGGAAATGTGGGGATTCCCAGGTCTTGATGGCATGTACCACCTGCAATTTTTTATTAGCAGGAAAACAGATGTTATTTGCCACCTTGTTCAGAATTCCCAAAGCCGTCTGAGCTCAGACCCAGTCCTAACACCTGGGGGAGAAATTATTTTCCCCAGCAACAATAGCGCATTCCTTGTTGTAATGTAAATTGTTTCAGGTGGGGACTTGCTCCTGAATGGGCAATTCAGAGACCTGCTTGTAGAAGATGAAAATTCCTAGAAGAGGCTTCTCACTGTGGCTCAACACAGCTGCTTGAATTTGAATTTTCGGACTCTGCTTAGGGGCCTGGTGATGGACATTTTCACAATGGAGGCCTGCTCTTCAGTGTTGCCCCTTCATCAGTGTTTATTTATTTATTATTACATTTCCAGTTCACAGCCAATAGTCCAACGGAATTCTCTAGATGGATTACAGAACCAATAGGATCAGAACTTATATACCAATAAAGTAACAATAAAACAATAATATGCATAATAATGTAACAATAAACCAGTAATATAAAGAAGACACAGCCATGTACAGCTCATAGCAATATACATCTAAGAGTCAGATGGCAATGTGAGAAGTTAAAACAGCAGGAGCTAAACCCTAGGAGTATCTGTAGAAACCATGAGCTCTGCCACAGATGTGTGAGGAATCAGTTTTGGGGGTGGGGATCCGTCGGATTCCTGGACTCTGGGCCACCTTGTCCTGAGCCTGCGTCCATGTTCCCGGTGAGGGTGCTGGCCAGGAATCAAGCCAGGGTTGGCATCAGCAGCAATCACCTGCTGCATCCCATGCAGCCGTCTTTTGTTTGTGCTGCTGCGCTTGACGGAGGAGAAGGCTCCTTGGACGGGGCAGTCCAGAAACGTATCCCTATCTGAAGCAGCATTGTTTGAGCTCCTGCTTCGGACACAGAAGGGTGCCAGTGGCGCCATCTTTCTTCCGTGAGCATTCGTGGACGTCCCCTCAGTTAAGACCAGGCCAGGCATGAGAAGACATCTGCGAATGCTCGAGGGACAGATTCTGCTGAGTTTCATCCCAACCCTAAGCGGCAGCCTTTCCTCCTGAGTGTCAAACCAGAGAAGGGGAGTGAGGTTTGGACCTGCTCTTGTTCCATCTCTGATCTCGTGTGCCTTTTCAGGGTTCCACATGATACAGTACATGTCTGCCTGCGAGCTGACAAAAGATGGACACAAAAGGGGGTATTTGCACTTTGGCTACGATGGGAGGGACTTCCTCAGCCTGGACAAGAAGACCTCGACCTGGACAGCAGGTGATGCCAAAGCCCAGATGACCAAGAGGAAGGTGGATGCTGATCGAACTATGACCCAAGGCCGCCTGTACTACCTGGAGGAGATCTGCATTCAGTGGCTGCAGAAATTCCTGGCCTACAGGAAGGAGACGCTGCGGAGGACAGGTGATGGGAGAGGAAAATATCTCAGAGGCGGATTTGTGTGACGTCTCCCCTCCTGCAGTAGTCCTTCACTGGGGATGATTGGAGTCGTTTGATGATTATGCGACTTGGATTCCAATACATCTGGACAGCACTAGATGGGGACAAGTCATTGCATTATGTCGCATCCTTAGGGGGAATGTGGACTGGATCAGATCAGACTAGAGCTGGTGGGACAGGAAATCAATTCTGGGGGTGGATATCCCATCAGATCCTCTTGGTTTGGCCCCCCCAGATTCCAGTCTGCCACTTACACACTGGCGCTGACTTGTTTCAGGGTCAGTCAAGCCAGTTTACAGTTTGTAAGATGGACCAAACCGGCTTGCATTTTTTTTGAAACTGCCCATAGAATATTTGCAGAGCAGAATCAGGAATGCACATGGCATTAATAATATTATTTTATGTACATAGTGCTCAATGACTAACTTATTGGATACTGTGGGAAAAGGTAGCCATGAGACATGTGACTTAGTGCTGCTTGTGCAAATCTAGCCAAACCATGAGTTTCTGGGTGCCGCTGTGTACAAAAATGGTTGTTCTATGCAAAACAGCACCTGGAAAACACACGGCTTCACCCTGTTGTGCAAATTACACTTGTTGCATCAAAGTCACATGCTTTCCTGATTCGGGCTTGCAAAACTTCTCTTTGTGTACTTTGGAAACAAGTATGCAAAGTACAGTTTGGAAGTTCCAAACACAGATGGAAGCTTGAAAACAAAAACTAATGCCCACACTCTGACTATTCCTTGTCCTCAGATTGGACGTGAGCAGAAAACCTGATGAGCCCAAATGATTTTCCATTATTGCACATCCCCTGAGTGAAGGGTGTCAAAATTTTAGTTAGGTATTTAAGCATTTCTATACTCCTTTATACCTCTCTCTTTTACAACCTAGGTAGTTTGCAAAAATCGCAAACCCATAACACAATGGTACAAACCTTAAAATATATAAAAGAAAATGCTTCCTTCCCAAGAAGGAAAAATAGCTTCATAGCAATAGGAAAACATGCATGTTTTCCTTCTCTCCTTTTTTGAATCATGGAGGAACTTTCAAAAATGTTCTTCTGCCTCCGTCATACACATCCAATTACCTGAAGTGGTCCATCCCACATATTCCCCTTGGAATTTGAAGTGGTCCAGTCCATGTGTCTACTCCATGTGATCTGAAGTAGTGTAGGGAGCCCATGCCCCCCCCCCCCCCCGGCTTGCAATGCAAAGTGGTCTTGTCCACATCCTCCTCCCTGCTGCATTATGGCATCTGAAATGGTCCAATTTGCTCAGCCAGCTCGTTAACAGATCCTGGCGAGAAAGGAGGCAGGAGTGCATGATTCAAGCAGTCACTTGATGCGGACTTTTGCTGAGCCACCATGGAGCACATGACTGGAGCATGTGCACTTCATAGCAAGTTGCTCCTTCCTCAGTTTCTTGTTCTCTCCATGAAATGCACTGCTGAATTTAAAAATTAAAATTTTAATTTAAAAAAAAATTGAAACTGGCCAGCCTGCCTGTGTAGGTGTTTTCTTAGAGCAGCCAGCTGAAGCAGCTGGAAACATCAGCTGTGTTTCTCTTTCATGTCTATATGCTTAATGTAGATGAACGAAATATAAAATGTGGGTGCAGGAGGCAACATAGGAAGGTCATTTTCAGAAAGTGGAGTGTGTGAATTGCAGTGTGGCTCCTTTGGGGTGAATAATGATTTTCAGTGGACTGAAGGCAAAATATTTCTCTTGGTCTTGGTACCGTATGGACCATGGGGAGAGTGAATTCTGTCCTGTTTGTTCCTGTCCACGATTTCTGCTGTATATGTGTGTGAGATACCTTGCGTGCCAACTTTCAGAGAAGCTCTGAGAAGTAGGTGACACTGCAAGCCAAAGGGGGCAGGCCAAATGCAAAAGGGGAGAATCAAAGTACTAAAAAGACGGGCAAACTTTAGCTTAAAGTTGTTCCTGTCACTCAGTGATGCCCAGAAGAGGCCTTTCAGAAGGTACAGGAAATGCACAACAACCAGAAAACCACTGAAGGATCTGTTTGGAAGTGGATAAGGCTCTTTGCAGAGCCCCAGAGGGCTAAACTAGGCCCTGGGACTGGGATTGTGGTCCCCTGGAATAGGAGCCGGGACAGGATGGCCCTATTCCTGCTGTGATCATGAAGAATCCACCCTGCCTGTCCGTGGAGACACCCCTGGTTAAAAAAGCTGTCACTGTTTTCACAGAGCCTCCAACAGTGAAGGTGACGCTTAAGCGAGGCTATGAAGACACAGAAACGCTGCTCTGCCGGGCTCATGGCTTCTATCCCAAGGAAATTGCTGTTGTCTGGACAAAAGATGGAAAAGCCTGGATAAAGGACACCTTCCGTGGGACTGTGGCCCCCAACTCGGATGGGACCTACTACACCTTGAGTGGCGTCACGATTGACCGCAAGGACAGGAGGCAGTATCGGTGCCACGTGGATCACGGTGGCCTGCTGGAGCCACTCGACGTGGCCTGGGAGGAGCTTTCAGGTGAGTGACCACAGAAGAAACGAAAGGTTCTGGCCAGCCAGAAAGAAGGAACACAAAAGACACACAGCACAGCCTTCAGTAACACCACCGTACGGCACGCTGGCCTCACCCACAGGGCCCAGTTGGGATGACACCTGGCTGCGCTGAGGGTGGAGTGGCGGAGGGCTCTGGCGAGGAACATGCTGGCCAGCTGAGGGGCCGTCTCAGGTAGAGAGGAGGCTGAAC